AGATCTTTGGTAGATGACTAGTTTATTTTGAAGGATGATTTATGATCTCATCTTGAAATGCTGAATGTTATCACTATATAAGTGATAGAGTATGGCAATTTAGATAAGTGCTGCACCATGTGGTACTGTACATGTGTCAGGCATGCACTTTATAGCTTACCAGGAGGAACTTTTCTGGAGATTTGTTATTCCAAATCATCACCTGCAGAATTGCTGATTGCGTAATGGGGAGCAGGGAGAAGTTATATCTGGATTCGAACAGTTTGATTTTAACCAGTATTAGAGTTAAAATGCTTCAGTCCATTCAGGACTGTGTACCTGTATGTACATGTACAAATAATTTTTTATATTTTAAGTTCCTTTCACTGCTGAAATGTACCAATTTAAGATAGTTGTATAAAGGTAGTTGGAAATGACATTTCACCATCGCTTCAACAAAATGTATTTATTGTGATCAATGCATGCTATCGTAGCTAGGGGGTAAACATCCATATCAACATTTGAAAAATATTATGTCTTTCATTAATTATTCATAATTGTTGTTATGAAACTCATCAATTCTCATCATATAAAGCCAAATTAATAATTAGAATAAAAACTTCAGATTTAATAGGGAGTTTTCCAGTTCACTGGAGATATCTTTAAACTAATATCAAGAATCAGAAATATTTATGGGTCAGCAAAACCTGTCTAATCCAAATGGCACTGGGACTTGTTACTGATCAAAGTGTTAGAATTGGCAGGTGTTCACATTTTAAGGTATTTAATATGGGAGGTAGTCAATGGCAGAATAATAATGGGACCAAAAAATTAGGAGGTGTTTAGATGAGAACGGTGTTTAGAATTATTCAGAATTAACTGTAGAACGTAGTTTAGAAATCAAGAGCATCATAACAACTTAAATAATCAAGTATATCTTGTTCTGCAACATTCTTATGCATTGATTTAAGTATTTATAGCTGGAGTGCCATGTTTCATGAATATATAATCAAAATTATTATCTAAGAATGAGCTATAAATAAATCATGCATGAAAAGTTTAATTATGTAAATATGAATATAGTAAAACCTTTCTAAGTGAACACCTCTCTCTTATGAACACCCAAATGAACACCCTTCTCAGCACATACTCTATTAACTTGTGTATAAATTACCCTTTGTCAAGTGAACACCTATCAACACTGAACATTTTTTCTTGGCAAAAATGTTCATTATACACAGGTTTTACTGTATATCCATTGCTTTCCCATCTTGCTTCATCAAGCTTCCGACCTGTCCTCTGATAGAATGTCGGGATTGAGTGATGGAACAGATGATGTTGTTTTCCAATTAATGCAATTAGTCAGCATTACATTTATTGATATGAATTCAGTTGGAATGGTGATAAAAATAATATTCTAATACAACATAAATGTTTTTCCAATGAGACTATAAGATTTCATTCAAGTGTTTATCAAGGTACAGTCTGACCTTGGCTATAACAACAATACTTCACTTTTGTTTATTTTACCAAGGTTATAAAATCCTAGAAAAATAGAAAAAAAGATCTTAAAGGCAAATCTAGACCTAGTTTTAGTTAAAAATATTTTAGAAAATGAAGCTAAATTGCTTCATGTTCATCAAAAATAAAAGGAACCATGATTCCCGAGATTCTACTGTCGGCTATATTGTTACTAAAACAAGAAACAGTTAACATTTCAGAAATTGCCACATTTACACGAAACAGCATTCAGTAATATCAAAAATAGTCTTCCCTTAAGATCCTTTCCCTGTCTACCCCCGACGGGTTTGTGTAAAAAACCGGGTGACCGGGTACTTAACGTTCCAAGCAGGGTTAGGATTTTTTTATTTATAGCGTTGGATCTAGACGATACATGTACGTTATTTTCGACGTCACGTTTTGAGGTTATTTCACATCGTAAGAACGTTTTGACAACGTTAAATTTTAACTTTAACGTCAGTAATGAACCGATTTAGTGAGAACATATTGACGTCTTTGTAACGTTTCCTTAACTCACAAATATTTTGAAGCCATTTCCATAATGTTGAAATTCAACCATCCATCGACGTATTGCTGAATATTTAAATAACGTCAGATCAATACAGTCCATGAACATCATTATTGACGTCACGTTTTGAAGGTTATTTCAAATCGAAAAAACGTTTCGACAACGTTAAATTTTAACATTAACATTACGTCGGAAATGAACCGACTTAGTGAGAACACAAAGGTTTTGTCATGTTTTTTTCCACCAACAAATATTTTGATATTAAAAGCCTGTTTTGACAACGTTGAATTTTAACGTTTGAGTTACGTCACATGGACCAATGTAGTAAAAAATCAAACGTTCCTGTTTGTTATGTTTTCCACACTAATGAACTTTACGGACACGTTATAACAACGTTCTTTTTATACCATCAATAGATGTCTCATGTTTACGTTGCCTCGATGTGTAAAGAACGAAAATGTGCAACGTCTTCTAGGAACTTATATCCTACTTATGATCAACGTGACATGTATGTCACTGTTTGCTGGATCGATTATTTTAAAAAGTGCTCTGTCTCGTGTAGGGTAAAAATATCGAACAGCAGTGCACTCGGTAGGCTAAGTCTGTCAAGTCAATTCGCTACTATATATCGGGGGAAATGTGGAACTTTGAAAGTTGGTAACCCTGCTAGGAACGTTAGGTACCCGGTCGACCGGGTACCTGGTTACCCGGTCACCCGGTTTTTTACACAAACCCACCCCCGACTCTACAGTGAACTAGATGAGGACCTAGCTCGATGTGAGTTCTATCAAAAATCACCACAGCATAATATGTTATGATTGTATTGCTGATGTGACATCTAATCACCTGCCTGTGTGATTTGTGATGACGTGTGTTGACATGTTCATGAAATGTCCAAGGGCCTCCAGTGTAATACAATTAGACTGGGAGATCGGCTGATCGCCAAACCAGACTCTTAATTAATTGATGCTAACTCATTTTACTTGCCATAGCCTCTAATTAAAAACAAAATTCACTTACCATCATTCAAGGTCTAATTAAAATTCACTTATCATCCAAGGTTTGTAGATTTCATAATCAGCTCATAAGTTCTCTTAGACTTTAGGGCACTTTAATTGCTATAGCCTACAAGAGGGAATACTACTGAAGTTTTTTGAAGAATGCAAAATTATTTGACCAGTACGTCATGAAGACATTAATTAATATCTTGGGATAAATAGCTTATTTTCTGCTTTGATCGATTGAATATTTGATCCCTGCCAATAATATATTAATAAAGTCTATACACACTTCGATACAATCATGCATTTAATCGTAAGGTTACTCTTCTATTTTCTTGAAAGAATGATTACATTGTATAACAATTAAATCAAAGGCTATAAGGTAAACATCACAATAGGCATTTTATGGCATCTTTTTATTTGGAACATCAAATAATCAGTAGCAACAAAGAGCAAATATAACAATGTCAATAAAATGTAGAAAATATAATAAAACAGGAAAATGCAATTTGCAATAATATTTTATTGATCGTGATAACAGTTAATGAGAGACCTAACATGACAAATGATGACACAGGTATGTCCTGGAGACAAGTTATGATATGTCAGCCCCTGTATATTTTACAGTCATCTATTTTATTATATGTGCATTATGAGTTCATGTCCAGTACTCATGTATCAAGTTAAAGTGATGATGTATTTTTCAAATTAGCGATTTATATTTTCTTGCAGTTTTTGTCTTCCAATAAATCAAATTTTCTCATCACATATTTTTCATTTTTTATATTTGACCATTCATTTTTAAAAGTACATGCACATGTCAATAAATTCAATTTAAATGTTTTGAATTTTTTGTGTGTATCATTTTGTTTTCAACTTAATGCCATCCTAAAATTAATTGATCTCTGTATACCAAATATTTCCAAACAAGCATTACACTGGCGCCAAATCATTAATAACCTCATAAATGTTGAAATCATCGCTATGTATTGTATGTGTCATACTGACTTTATGACCTATCTAATTGTTTTAATTGGCACCTGATGATGATGTAGAGAGCACTCGTTAGTGCACATAATGTTATTATACCATCAGTTGATTGACGCAATGAAGTAAACAGGTGAAAGAGAGAGTGTCTGTGCGGAGGTTTTAGGATTATTAAAGTTCCTGCGAGTGTTCTTGATGAACTGCATATATTTATTCTCTATTGAATCGCGAATGAATAATCTTTCAGAAACTAGGTGCAAATCATTGTGTACAGAGTTGTTAGATTTACAGAGGTGTTTAACTCATATAGAGACAGCTCAGTGTACAGGTGAGAGTATAAAACAGAAGATGTATATATTCTTGAATGCATGAGACTGTGTCTCATTGTTTTTTATATTCTTGAGGAGTTTTGAATCTCTATAGAATCAAGGCATGAATGGAACATTTACACGGATTTACAAAGATGTTGACTTATCAGTGATATCTTACTTATAGAGACGTTATTTTACTTATAGAGATGTTAATTGGACTTGGAAGTATTCAGCTGACACATTTTAAATTTGGAGATACATGTATTCTACTTCGAGAGATTTGACATATGAATATATTTGATTTTCAGAAGTTGACTTATTTAACCTATAATAGTATTTATAGCTTGACCTATTAGATAATTTAGATTTGCATTCCACAGAGGTGTTCGATTTGCAAAGCATTTGGGCTTGTTTTTTTTACTTGTAGAGCTGCTTGACCTAAATTAGTAAACTTTTTCTTTGCTTCCAGGCCTGGAAGTCTTGAAGAGTCCTCCAACTTTGGATATCTTCCAGTATTCTTCATAGAATAGAATAATTTCTTTAGGAAGAAATGAATTTGATTTCTTGTGGACAATACTAGCCAAATATTGCCAACTGTTATACAATTAAGCATCATAATTCACATGATTTGATTATCATGCAACAGTCGAAGCCACATAGACTTAATTAATATGTTCCATTTATGTCTTCCAGATTTAAGATGTAGACAGTAACAAAGTACAAACACAGCTATAAGATACAACATTAGAAAATAAACAAAAACAAAGTCAGTGACATAATAATAGGGAGAGACAGTTGATTGGTCGTTGACCTGGGACGCTACCAAATAGAGACATCATATCACAATATTGTGTATTATTGGGACAGTACAATAACAGGACCTGGTCGGGGAAACCAGAGGTCTGAGAAACATCGCACAAAAGTAACTTGAAGGAAGTTGACATTCTCAAAAAAAGTAAGCATAACTTTTTTGAATATTAATGTTTATAACTCCTAAAATACATTCTTAGCAGACTAGAATAAACGTGATAGTAAGTGAAAATTAATCAAGGAACTAAATTAATAAAGAATTTTATTAGAATGACTAAAACAGAATAGAATAGTTTTAAAGATCAAAAAAATCTTAATAACCTTTCAGCAACCCATGACTTTTAACGTTTATTTATAAGTAAGGCTTTATTGTACAAATGACAAGATGACTGAATTCAGAATTATTAACCCAAGGATTGAACTCTATTATGTGGACATTAACTGTCTGTTTATAAAGCAATATGTTGTTTTGGTACCAAGGTAGTCATTTCTAAATGCATTGCATTACAATCCTTTCTGTTCATCTCTGGTAGCACATTCAACTACAAGGGGAAGATAATAAACATGGGAGATGAATCAAAACCACAGGAGGATGGTAATAAGTTTGTTTTGATCGTGAAAACTATGCAGCAGCAGACATTCTGTGTGTTTATTTGTTGTGACTCCATTTCTCTGGCCTTGTATCCTGTAAGATACTCAAAAACTTGGCATTTTAATTCATTTGATTGAAATGTACATGTAGAGGCCTCTGACCTCATTATTTCTGCATGTCCAAACTGGAATGAAAACATGCTCGCTCTCTGAAACTCTTACATGTATGTACACTTTGCATTTATTTGACTAAGCTTCCTACAAGTTAGCTTTGTCATTGAGCCAAACAGAGCATGTCATCGCCAAAAGAACAATTTTCATCTTAAGTTATTGTTTACCAAGTATTCAGACCAACATTAAAAATTGTTTAGACATGTTTCTTTCTACTCACTGATTGGTTGAGAAAATGTCAATGGGGTTGGTTTGAATTGATTTATGATGGGGCGGTGATGGCCCCGGCAGTTTGGGAGAGCCACTAAAATTGTCCATTGAGAGGTTACTTTAGAACAATCCTCTGCGCTCAGGGTAGTAGTAAAAACGCAGAGATGAATTTACAATCAAATTTTAATCCCAGATACATGTACATGCGATTGCATTATCAATTGTTCTCTCTATTTCAGTGACAGACAAGGGGATAGACTCCAGGAGTATTGGGCTTCGTGCTCAAAAGAAACTTCTCAGCAAGATGTCTTCAAAGAAAATGGCCAAAGTCTTCATTGATGACACGAGTGGCCGGCTGCTAGATAACATGTTCAAACTGATTAAAAAATATACCGGCAATAAGAAAACTGCAGAGAAAGTTCTGAAAAACATTATAAAAATAGTCGTAAAAATCGGCATTCTCTACCGCAATGATCAGTTCACGAAGCAAGAGCTAGCCATCACCCAGCAATTCATGCGGAAATTTCGCTCAACAGTGATGACCGCAATAAGCTTCTATGAGGTTGACTTTACATTTGATCAGTTCTTTCTCTCAAAAAACTTGCAAGAGTGTCAAGCTATGCTTCAGAGTCTCATAGACAACCATCTCACTGATAAATCAAAGGACCGCGTCGATATGGTCTTTGGGTTCTTTTCGGACGTTGTATTCCTACAGACCATTTTCCAATCGGACAGTGATTATCGCAAGCTGCTTGGATTGATGGTTGATGATTTGCACACTCTCATGGATAACGGCACGTTATAGACAAGCGTATAGTACTTGGACATGGAAAAGTTCTAGAGTTCGATTTAATTTAGATGATTTGCCTGCTGATGTTTGCAATACAGCATGCTACATTTAGGATTGACTCAATGAGCTCACCTTTTCAGTGAGCTATGTGGACCTCAATGAGCTAGGATGATGGCAAAAGCTGGATTTACCTTCCAGAAAGTGCAGTGTATATCAAAACATGGAAAAGCATAATAACGTGTCATTTTATGTTCATTCAAACTATGCACGCAAGAGAAACTAATCGTTTCCATAGTAGTTATATAGAGCATGTTATTATATAATGAGAAAATAATGATGTGACCATAGGTTTTGCCTGAACCTGGTCTGAGGTGTGGCATATGGTCTGAGGGATCAGTTTATGTGTTATTTTGTTATGCATTTTGAATGGTATGGCTAGCCTGTATTAATTTGCCATTTAATAAGATGTATATTTGTTTGTTTTTGTCAAGGTTTTATTCAACTCTTTCAGTTTGCTAGCGAATATAATCCAGCTTGTTAAAGCGGGACAGCTTTTTTAAAGATTATGAAAAGATACAATCACCCAGAAAACTATTTTGAAAAAAGAATATCATCAATAATTCAAAAATATTTTCAATTCATAATGATTTTACTAATTACTCCTTTTCTGTTTTAAAGAATTATTTCACTTCTGACCACACAAGCAATTTGCTTAAAGCTTTTATAATTTTTGGATTAAACTTTATTGGTTACAAGTTACAAATTATTTTGAATTCAAATTATTTAGAAGTAACCTAGGATCAGAATAACAGATGATAGGCCTTTAAGTTCCATAACATGTTTCATAATTACTTTCATGAAGCTCAGTCAGGTCACCATCAATAATTAAATGGGATGAACTTTTTCATGTAACTTCACATAACCAAATCTTATCAGATTGATGGTAAACATGTACTGATCAGCTGACATATACATCATGCTGTTTTCCCTCAATATTTTTTGCAATTCTTATTAAAAGTTCAGTAATTTTATTTCATGTTTGAATGCTACACAAGGTCAATCCTTAAACTGTGATTTGTTTCCTTAAATTAGTCTTGAATCATGCCCCTGCACCACCCCATACCCCCTCTACACAAGTGATTATGATACTGGAGAGGGTTTAATGGCATTGATGTAATACTAGTGAAATGTTATATTGACATTTACTTGACTGAAACAATAACACATTAACATAGTTACTTATTTTCATTGTAAATTGTTATGAACTCCAGTTAATCCCACTTTGCAATTAGGTCAAACTCATTAGCATGCAAATATTGGAAATTCCAGACAAAGATGCAAAATAGATTGTTCCAATAAATTCTGCCACCCTTTGATATATTCGAAAAACGATGATATATATTGGCTAAATTGATGATGTCATTGGTTGTAGGAAGAAATCTGACCGTGCAAAAACAAGATTAACTCATTGCTAATTTCAAAAATTACAACTTATGACAACATCAAGCCAATATATCAAAGTTTCTCTGATGTATTAAAAGGTGGCAGGATTTACAGGAAATACCTTTTCTGCTTGGAGGTATGAATATTAACTTTGCTATTTTGGTGTTTCTGTTCATACAATGACTCAGTGCCAATACTAGTTATTATCGTATGATCTGTAAAATGAAGCCTTCTGATTGGTCAGTTCTTGTGCTGTACCAATCTATATTGCTACTGAGATTGTCCCCGTTGATCATCTCCGTCGTAATACAGAAAATATTGGTACGGAAGGGACAATCTCAGTAGCAATACAGAGGATCACACGATAAAAACGTTATTGAATGATTTGAAGTGCAATACAGGATATATTCTGTCTCGATATTCTGTATTGGCACTCGACTTCGTCTCGTTCCAATACGGAATTTCTCGAGCAGAATATATCCTGTATTGCACTTCAAATCATTCAATAACTTATATTCTTTCTTCTTTTATTCTTTAATCTTTTTCATGAATTGAATGTTCAGATACCTCTCATTCACATTTTAATGAATGTTTGGGGTCTTAAGTATCATCTTTATTGATCTTATTGTGTCCTCTAAAATAACATGGATTGTTTTTGAATATTTTTGGGTTTCGATAAATGAGAGATTTTGCAAGCTCGCTTGAAGCTCATCTATACTTAAAGACCCCATATAAAGTTTCAAACATATTTTCAAACTTTGTACAGGCCTTTAATTTGGGATCAACCTCTAATTAGGCCTTATTTTCAGGAAAATTTATGACTCATTTCACAAAATGTCAATACAAACTGGATGGTTCAAAATTTTGTTAACACAACTTTTACCTTGCAATGTTAATTTCTGACACGCAAGCAATAGAGTAACCACGAATTATTATTTCACATCAAGATAAAGAAAGGTGTACATGTTAAGTAGATTAGATAGACTTCAGGATTTTATCATCAATTTTTGAATAATATTATTAGTATGCTATAAATGTTATTTATTATTAAAAGCTTCACTAACATACTGTAACACTGTGAGCTCTATGCATGTGATATTTTATATATGTATATATTTATCATTTAAATTATAAATCAAGTCAAACATCATTGTGCAGTATGGCAATTTTAACATTTTGTCAGTTATTTGTCAATTAAAACATGTATGAAATAAGAAATATATTGTAAATATTAAATATGGTTTATGTCTGAACAATATACATTATACTCCACTCCAATTATGGTTTTTATGAGTAAGTTGGTTCAAAACTAGCTCTAGACAAAGATAATATTCACTCCTTGTCATATCTTGCAAGACCACACCATGGCTACAACGAAGGTCTTTGATGAAACACCTCTACATCAGGATTTTATGATACATAATTTTGTAGAGCCCCTCACAGGAGCCATGTGTTAAAACACAGAATGAAGGTTATGGATACTTACAATGATGAGAGGTAAAGGGCTGTGTAATATTACTATTAAATGTTTCAGTTATGTATAGATGTCGTGTGTGTATACATGAAGAATCCTATCTTACTTATTCCAGCGTGCACATGAAGAATAGATGGCATTGTTATCAGCCTTGCTGTACAATAGCAAAATCCCTGGAGAATAATATTTGTTTAACACTTATCTAAAGCATGCAGTAGTTTTATTGCCAGTGATTGAGAAATCTATAACATTTTTTCAAGTCTGAAGTAGATTCAATATTGCAAAATCACGGCCAGTAATCGGACAAAATGAGTAAAGGGGAGAACCCAATTTTAGTGTTAGAAAATCCAACAAATCTGCAAGAACATTTTTAATGAATTACAACAGCTCCCCCCCTACCCCTCACCCCTGTACTCATTTTGTTCGATGATCAGGCAGTGAAAATATAACATCTGGATGTGTTGTTAGAACTATCTGACTTAATATGGTTTATGTCTGAACAATATACATTATACTCCACTCCAATTATGGTTTTTATGAGTAACACATTACCAGAGATCACGAGCACAAACATCTGGGATTTACTTTTGACCCAAGCTTATCATATGACAAGCATATTGGAGAAATCATATCAAAAATACGAAAAATGTTGAACCCTTTAAAGAAACTTAAATATAAGTTAGGTAGTAAGCATCTAGAAACCATATTTAAGTCCTTTATTTTACCCCATTTTGACTATGGTGCTATCATGTACAGCACAGCCTCAAAGTTCCTATTACAACGACTCGACAGTCTTTATTATAAAGCTGCACTTTATTGTTCTGGGTGCATCCAAGGGAGCAGTTCAAAAAAGGTTTTAAACCTACTCAATTGGCCAACTCTTGAATCAAGACGCAGTATCCAGATTAACAACTTTATGTTCAAAATTGTAAATGGTACAAGTCCTCCCTATGTAACTGATATTTTTGACAAATTTAGAAACCATGCAAACAGAGTATTGAGATATAATGAAGCATTTAAAATGCCCATTAGATGCTCAAATAGATTCTCCACCTCAGCAATACCAGCTGCAATTTCAAATTGGATCAATCTTCCACCTGCTATTAAATCTAAGAATACTCTTTCGAATTTTAAAAAACACCAAAGAGTACATTTCCAAAAAACGCCCTCGATTTTGTCAACAAGCCAGCTTAATCTAACAAGGGTTCAAGAAATAGTTCTCAATAAAGTGAGAGCTGACCTATACTTCAAAGCCCAGTTCTACGCTCACAACTTTCAGTCTATTGACAGCCCTAATTGCACTTGTGGAAAACCACAAACTCTGGAACATTTTCTCTTTCAATGTGACTTACTTACTATACAAAGACAGCAATTCATGGACAAACTCACTGATCTCGAACCAAACATCTTCAGTCATAATCTCTCTCAAACTGATTTCATAGCTATTTTGAAAACAGGAATTCCCAAATTAAACATAGATGCAAATTCCCAAATACTACTTCTCATTGTTAATTTTATCAAAGACAATAGCTAATTCCCTCCTTCTTATCCGTCTCTAGTATCCTCAAGTCCCGTCACACCTGCCCTAGTCCAAGACCCTGCCTGCTCTGCCACTTCTACTTCCACCTGCCCCCTATTCTTATATAATGCCATTGTGGCGATTTAAGAATTTACATGTCTGTATTTACATTTTTTGTATTCTATTGAAATAAATTTAATAATAAAAAAAAACTTAATATGAACCAGTTGAACTAGAGAAACATCAAAATTATTTATATTCAAACTAATAACAAGTTGTCATAACCAGGCCCGTAGCCAGAGGGGGAGCTGGGGGAGCGGAAGCTCCTCCCCCCCCCCCCCCGGCCAGAAATTATTTCAAAACCATGCAGTTTTGCACCATTCTGAGAATTTTTCGCATGATTTTTATCCAAAATTGTGAAAAAGCTCCCTCCCCCCTGGAAAAAAGCTCCCCCTCCTGGTAAAAGCTGGCTACGGGCAAGATAACAACATCTGAATAGAAGTTTCGTCAGAATATTTTGGTTCATAAGGCTTGATTGATTCAAATTCTTTAGACCCATTGAAAATAACCTTGGTGTCAATAGGACTCTCTTAAATTATACAGAAGGATTTATTCTCTTTGTAACATATTGTGTTAACTCATTTTCATAAATAAAGTCTATGCATTTTCATGTTAAATGTTATTTTGTTCAGTGGTATTACCTTGTTCAGAAATTACATGTACGATGTTACGTTGTTATCCAGATAATAGAGAGGTTTCGCAAAACGAGTTAGCTAAAACGTATCCGCATCCGTATCTCGTTACGTTTACGGATACGTATTTGGATAATTTTCGTTTCGCAGTTCGTTTTTTGAAGTACGTAATTATAAACGCATCTCAATCCGTGTTTAATAGTAGTGAAAACTAGGGTCAAATAAAAGGCTTCATCTGCACTAAGATTTCAAAACACCATTTGGAGTGTCAGCTTTCAGAATCACAACTCCATAACGTGTAAGTATTTTTGGTGAGTGCAAAAATACATATTAACCCTTTCATCCTTAAGGGGTCATTTATTAATTTCATGACATCAATTTCAAAATGAAGAATATCCCTTAGGCCAGAAAAGATTATATCTAGGTTTACAATAACCAATTCAGTGTCAAATTATACTTTGGGGAATATTTAAGGGTTTGAACACAGATATAGGCTGAGATAGTGGTCATTAAGTGACATGCGCAGTGACTGCATTATGCTACAAAATGC